TCACGCTACTGTCTTGACAAACTGACTGAAGATGTCAACTCTCTTGATAAGTGCCATTTCTTCATGAAATCATTGCTTGGTACCAAATCCACAGCCACTCAGCCACATTCAGATGATCGCGAGGAGAAAGGAGTTTACTGATCATGGAATCCTTAGTGATACAAATACGTGTACACCCGTGAACTTGACTGGTGTCGTGTCACTCAACGAGTTTGAGAGTTTTAGTCAGGATGACATTTTAAAGATCATCAAATCCGCCAACAAAACGACATGTCCACTTGATCCGATACCGTCCAAGCTAATCATTCAACTTCTAAACATTCTGCTTCCTGTTGTTACTTTATTAGTCAACTTAAGTTTAAGTACCGGATGTTTCCCATCGGTGTTCAAACAGGCGGTGGTGAGACCACTAATAAAAAAGGAGTCTCTTGATCCCAATATTCTCAAAAACTATAGACCTGTATCTAACTTGTCATTCCTTTCCAAAATTGTTGAAAGAGCTGTCAATCTCCGTCTTCAATCCCATATTTCAAAATATGAGTTGTTGGATAAGTTGCAGTCTGCTTACTGACCCCATCATGGCACTGAGACCACTGTGTTGAGGGTCCTCAACGACCTACAGTGTGCAGTGGACACAGGGAATGTAGCATCTTTGACTCTTTTGGATTTGTCTGCAGAGTTCGACACTGCGGACCATCAGATTCTATACAATAGACTTAAAAAACAGTTTTGGATTTCCGGTACAAAGCTTTTATGGATCATATCATATCTTAGTAATAGACATCAAACAGTTCTACTTGGTGAGGCTAAATGTCTACCGTTTAAACTTGACTGTGGCGTACCGCAAGGCAGTGTATTAGGACCCATGTTTTTTGTTCTTTATACAACCGCTTTGGGGTCTGTGATCGATGGCTATGATCAGAGGCACTACTCTTACGCCGATGATACTCAACTCATTAGTGTGTCTAGTCCTATGCTAATCAGAGATGCCTTACAAAAAACTACCGACTGTTCGCTCGCAGTTAAACAGTGGATGAAAGCGAACAAACTAAAATTGAACGACGATAAAACCGAAGCTCTTTTAGTAGGCTCACCACAACAACTCAAGTTAATACCTGATCTTAAAATCACCATTGGTAATTCAGAAATAAATTTCTCCAAAACTATTCGAAACCTTGGAGTGATATTTGATCCTTCTCTGACAATGGACACTCAGGTTGATATGGTATGCCGTAAATGCTACTATCATCTACGCTGTATACGCAACATCAGAGACTATCTCACTGCTGACACTCAGGTTGATAACATGCTACTGTCATCTACGCTGTATACGCAACATCAGAGACTATCTCACTGCTGACGCTTGTAAACTACTTGTGAGATCACTAATTTTATCAAGGATTGATTATTGTAATAGTTTACTCTATGGAATCCCACAATCACTTCTAGCCAAGATCCAGAAAGTTCTTAATATTGCAGCCCGAATAGTAACAAGGACACATAAGTTTGATCACATCCAGAATGTGCTAGCTTCGTTACACTGGTTACCTGCTGAGACGTGAGTCAAATACAAAATACTAACATTAGTGTATAAATGTCGCAATAATGCAGCTCCTCAATATTTTTCTGAACTCTTATATGACTACAACCCTATTAGATCACTTCGCTCTCAAAATAAACAGTCACTGGTTGTTCCAAGATATAATTTAAAGTCATATGGGTATAGGTCTTTCTGTTCAGCTGGTCCTAGATTATGGAACGAACTTCCACAACAGATCAAGAATCAACAAACTTTTAATCAATTTAAATCCGCACTAAAGACTTTCCTGTTTCGACAGTTTTACCAGTACAGCCATAACTAAAAGCGTTTTGAGCATGTGTCAACATGGAGAAGACGCTATATAAAACCTCATTATTATTATTTTTATTAAACACTCATGTTTTTGGTCGAATTAATATATGTTCTCTTTCCATCTGCTTATTTCGCAGTAACTGTGGGAGTCAGAAAAATATATTAATATTGTTCTATGTTCATGATATTTGCATCATTTGATACCTAGTGCGACTCTTCATTATTGTAACCTTCTTGTAATTAGAAATGACGTCATTTTGGTACAACTTGTACTTTTAACAGTTATTAAACAAAGTTTTATGTCAAATGTACCTGTCTCTTTATATTTAAATTTTGAAACTTTAATTCCAATCATCGAAAAGCACAAATCAATGCGAACATATAGATATCAAATGATAGTTTATAACTTGAAAAAAAAACCTATATTATTTTCAATATTTTCAACCCTTAAAGCATAAGAGTATTATTCTATACACTTCAATAATAATGTTTACCAATTTCCTTCAAGTAATATTGTGTAGATATACGATCAAGCATTGGTCACTTTGTAAGGGTTTCACAAATCAACATGCTATCATAAATGGTCATTTCGTGTAACTTTTTTTACACGTGTATCATGCTCATGGGAATATGTTAAGTAACGTCCGTTAAAGGATAACGGGCACCGGCGAAACCCGTCATGACTGCATATCTGAGCTGTTTAAAAACCGTTTTTTATTTGCAAAATAAATGCCGGTATTTCAAAAATTCCTCACAGTTCACTGAATCACAGATATTCTTAGTATTGCATTACAATAAGTTAGAAAAGACAAACAGCGAATTGTACAATAAGTTAGAAAAGACAAAAAAAGCGAATCTTAGAAAATATATCCCCTTAAATAATTGATTATTGTTATCTACAATTTTTTATTTCAAGATGAAAAGTTCAAAAAATGAGATTGCCTACGCATTAATTACATCCGTAAAACCCGTTTGAACGGAGGTTCCATCTACAAAACCTCAAAAGGACAAAATTATATAATAAATGAGGCCATCCACAGCCACATATGCTGTAATCTGCAATGCATAACCTTGATTGAAGAAATGAAATGATGTAATTGATGTTTAATCAACTGGGCGATAATGCGTCAGACAATTATTATATAAAAATCGTTTTTGCTTTTGTTGCAGGCTTCATGAGAAATTAGGTTACGTATACAATTAGTTTGATCATCACTCCAGCCTAAATTCAACTTTAAAATTGCCGGGGGTTCTCAAGACAAAGTTTTAAGCAAGAGAATAACTATGTAACCCGCGATTACTTTCGCATTATTATTATGGACCAAGTTATTATTGCGTACGCCTGTAGCCTCCTTTCAAATTTCCATCACGTGTCAGTTCAGGATAAAATTTGTATGTAGTTTATATCAATATCAACCAGCGGCTGCCAGGCAGGATACGCCCACATTTTCGAGAGATGGAAGGGCCTAACGGTGATATAATAATACGTTTTTTTTAAATCGGATAAAAATTATGACCTCTATAGGGTCCACAAGCTAAAATCGCGATTCTGCGTACAGTCATGGGCCATAATTCAGGAGGTTACGGTCCGATATGCGCGAATATCGAAAGGAACCGAGATGTTTTGGTTATAAACTTACATTTCAAGTTTCAACAAGATCGGATAAAAATTGTGACCTCTATAGGGTCCACAACTTTGATATACCATATTTTTACGCTATTTGAGAACGAGGGGCGGCCATTTTGTCTGTCAGTTTTGGGCTGATTTTAACGAAACGAACTCAGCCGTCCTTAGGGTGTACCGGTGATATAATAATACGGTTTTTTTAAATCGGATAAAAATTATGACCTCTATAGGGTCCACAAGCTAAAAACGCAATTTTTCGTACAATCAGGGGCCATAATTCAGGAAGTTAAAGTTACGGTCCGATATGCGCGAATATTGAAAGGAACCCAGATCTTTGGGTTATAAACTTACATTTCAAGTTTCAACAAAATCGGATAAAAATTGTGACCTCTATAGGGTCCACAACCTTGATATATCATATTTTTACGCTATTTGAGAACGACCGGCGGCCATTTTGTCTGTCAGTTTTGGGCCGATTTTCACAAAATTCGAACTCAGTCGTCCTTTGGGTTTAACGGTGATATAATAATACGTTTTTTTTTAAATCGGATAAAAACTATGACCTCTAAAGGGTCCACAAGCTAAAAATGCGATTTTTCGTACAATCAGGGGCCATAATTCAGGAAGTTACGTTCCGATATGCGTGACCTCTACAATGTTCACAAGCTAAAAACGTGATTTTTCGTACAATCAGGGGCCATAATCCATGAAGTTACAGTACGATACATGCCAATATCGAAAGAAACCGAGATCTTAGGGTGATAAATCTATATTTCAAGTTTCATTGAAATCGGATAAAAATTGTGACCTGTAGACTGTTCACAAACTTGTGGACGGACAGGGGCGACGACAATGAATATACGTCCACATGAAAATGTGGGCGTATAAAAAGCTACGATTAAATATTCAAGTCAGTTGGACAAACAACTGTGGTCTTAAATATTCTACTGGGCCGAAACAACTTCTTTAACATCCAAGTAGGCCGAAACGACGCAAAGCCCAACCAGCGCCCGTGCCGAAATCGACTATTCCAGATAACTAGGTCAAACATGGCTGATGTTCAGTAGCGCGATGTAAACAAACCACGATTTTTTAAGATAGAGGTTGTATAGCTTGATCTGAAATTGGTTCCCTCGTGTAAGAAAATAATGGGATGGAAATTCCAGGTATGTCACTAAGTTTTAGCCCTTTTAATTACAAATGGCAAACAATTTTCGCGTCGTAGTGTCACATGGAACAGACAGTAATCATTATTTGCTTGATAACGATACCTGTATGAGCGTTGAAACGTAGCATGATAATAATATTCAGAAGTAGTGCATCCATATACGTGTTCTAATTTTTACCATACATTTGTACTTTTTTACTTAACGAGACAATGTTATTTCAATAATTGAGGTGAGTGATGGTCGTATTTAGCGTTAAGATCACAATGTGAAACGTTTTGACAGAGTTGTAAATTGATCGTTAAAACATACCGCTTGTCAACATCAGTTTATAAACAAAATAATTTGTTTTGTCATGCGTTATCAGTTACGATAGTATATACCTTTTAATGACTTCATCAAAGAATCGCGCATGTCCATTAGGACCTGTCACACTCAAGAAGGCGATTGAAATAGCACTTACAAAGAACAGTCAATACCTGTAGTGTAAAGGGTGTTTTCTGATACCAAATATCACCCTGTGTAGAAGCAGACATTAATTAAGCCTATCGTCAGACTTTTATCCAGTCCCAAAAATGGAGATGCTTGCGTATATTCTTCATCGTTGTTTTGATTTGCAAACAATCGGGATTTTTACCACAGTTTTTCTTTTATTTGTGTACCTTTTGTTGTCAAGGGGTAAGTTACCCCCCGGTCCACCGGGCTATCCCATAATTGGTAATTTATTGTTAATGATGTCAATTAAACCGGGCACGAGATATAACTTTTATCGACGTCTCACCGAGAAATATGGAAATATATGTCGTATTCGATTTGGCCACAGAAATATGTTTATTTTGAGTGGTTATGATACAGTTCATGAGGCTTTGGTAACATTCGGTAATGTATTCGGGAATCGACCCAACTGGCTGCACACTATTAAGATGGCCACCAAGAATGGGAGAGGTAAGCAATTCAAATTCTTTTCGAAATGACTTATCTTTTAGCTGGTAAACCTTGTTGTTAGATCTATTTAATAAGGCCAACTTCAAGTTTGGTCAAAGCTCACGAGATATAAACAGGGCTAGCGCTAATCCCAACCCTAACCCTTGACCTAGCCCTAATGCTTACCCTAAGCCTAACAAAATTGAGCTGACCTTAACAAATATATTTAGCAGTTATAATTGGGGGAAATCGTCAAGTTTGTTGGCACTATTGCACTTTCACACGTCCACCAGTTCCCGTGGTCGTAGGGATTTGAAGGTGGCAGGTTGTCTCACACCAAGTTCCAGCCGAATCGACCGATAACTTCTCATTTTACCGACATTTTTGTTTCTGTCGAGAGATAAGTTCAAGCGATAACCACCATTTTGTTTGTTGACTATTTACACTCGAATAACAAGACACTAAAACGAATCCGACGCATTGCGCTTCCCGCCTAACGCTACAGTGCATAATATGATAATAATTTTCGTATATTTTAATTTTTGCGCTAAGGCACCATTTTCTATCAACGACTATTTGGTGTTGATCAGTTGAATTGGCCTTACGTGTGAATATCGCCGTGACCTTGACTTTGACTTCAAAGCTCGGGACCTTTGTGCTTATGTGTGCTATGTCCCTATTTCTTGCTGTATTATCGAGGTTAATGTCCGGGGTGAAAGCAGAGAAGATGCCTTTCACAAAGGATGATTGGGTCAAAGTCATGTTACAGAAAACTAAACTTAAACTTACCAAAGTCAGTTTTTGGACACTTGATCTTGACTTAAAATTACGACCTTCACCCCAAACAAAATTTTAAAGCCGCCGTCTTGGATTGGACCACCGACCTTTACCTTGGTCCTTTCACACACTGCTTGGCCAGAAAACGGTCAAATGCAGAGGGCCCGTGTTCGAAAGGAAGTCAATGGGCGTGGTCAACATGAAAGGTCATCGTGATTCCCCAGACATCAACGCTAACCAACCGTGACATCGACTTTCACCTGGACTCCAAAATTCCCATCGAATTCCGGGTCTTTGCATTTATGCGTGCCATGACCATAATTTCTAGCTGTCCTATCGAGGTCAACTTTCGAGGTGAAAGCAAAGAATATGTCCTTCAGAAAAGAAGATTGGGTCAAAGTCGTGTTTCAAGGCCATACGGAAAATTGAACTCAAACTCTTCAAATTCAGTTTTGGGACATTTGACCTTGACTTACGACCTTCACCCAATACAAAATTTTAAATAGCCAGCATCTTGTATTGGGTCATGGTCATACAGAACACTGAACTGAAACTCTTCAAATTCAGTTTTGAGACATTTGACCTTGACTTGCGACCTTCACCCCATACAAAATTTTAAAGGCCACAACCGTGGCTTTGAACACCGACCTTCACCTTGGTCCTTTCAAAAACGCAGAGATTGGGTGGTCGAAAGGAAGTCAATGGGCGTGGACAATATGAAAGGTCATTGTGACCTCCAGTCATCAACGCTAACCAACCTCGACTTTGACCTTGACCACAAACCTCTCATCGAGCTCGGGAACTTTACGTTTATGCGTGTCATGACCAGATTTCTTGCTGCATTATTGAGGTTGATGTTCGAGGTGAAAGCAGAGACAACGCCCCTCAGAAAAATTAATTGGGGCAAAGTCGTGGGTCAAGGTCATGTTACAGAAAACTAAACTCAAACTTTTCAAATTCAGTTTTTGGACATTTGACCTTGGCTTAACACCTTCCCTTCGTAACCATTTTAAAAGGCCATCTTCTTGGCTTGGGCCACCAACCTTTAACTTGGTACTGTGGTATTGGGGTGTATAGGCCGATGGCCTTGATTGTTTACGACAATCAGAAGGGCTAATTAAAAACTGTCATCTTACATTTCACCCCAACTAGGATCAAAGCCTTTTATTAACCATTCACATTCACGCGGTTTGTCGTCATTATAAAGTTTATTAACAATTGTAGATTTCCACACTTAATTCTACCTTTCTTGATGTGAAAAACATTATCATTATTACTGACATCAACTAGGTAATTTAATTGTTCTTCCATCTGTGTGTGACATAATTTAGATATTGAAGCTCAATTCTTATTATCATTTAGAAAACTCACACATTGAGATTATAGTATAAGGTGTAGTAACTCTATTAAATACAACATTTTTATCAGCAAAGTTTGGTAAAACTAAACTATTTTCATCGGTGTATTGGTAAGTCAAATCATTATCTACATGAACATTATCATTTACAGTTTTACCAAGATATTTTCGTAATTGATCAATATGACGTTCATTTGGCTCATTAAAACGAACAAAGCATGGTTTAAGTCTATTTATAGAATAAACATCTTGTAATATCTTTCCGTCCAAAGTGGAAAGTATATAATGCGCTCTGTCCAAGATTTAGTGAACCATTCAGCCTTCACCTTCCTAGAGTTACAAGTAAGAGATTAAGAAGATGGTTTTAATATGAGAAATCCTTATATACTATTCAAAAAAAGTAGGGGATATTTGATTTTTAAGTGTTATTAAAGTCACCTAATGAAACTGACGAAGAAACAAATGACAAAATGAAATGAAGTTCACATTCATCGATTTATTCCAAATGATCGTTAGACTAAGTAAGGCACAGACTGACCATTATAAGGGTAAAATGATACCCGGGGTCAAACAGCAAAGTTACCACAGCATCACAACCAAGTCAGTAACGGGTAAATCCTCCTCTGTTTGCCAAACAAGCATTGATCCGACGTGGCATACTCCTAATGAGACGTCTAAGGTCATTTTGGTCCAGATTGTCCCATTCCTGTTGCAACGCAGCAGCAAGTTCTTGGACATTGGCAGGACGTTGTTGACGTTGACGTAACCTCTGTCCAAGCATGTCCCAGACATGCTCGATGGGGGAGAGGTCGGGACTCAGTGCTGGCCAAGGTAATGTGGTGATGTTCTGTTATTGGAGGTAACCTGTAACGATCCTGGCCCTGTGACATCTTGCGTTGTCATCCTGGAAGATGAAACGGCGGCCATGACGTCGTGCGAACGGCACAACATGGACTGCCAAGATGTTGTCCCGGTAGTACTGGCCTGTAACACGCCCTGCAACAACATGTAAAGCCGTTCTTCCAGCAACAGTGATGCCTCCCCACACCATAACAGAACCACCCCCAAATCGATCATGTCTGATGACGTTAACGTCTTGGAAGCGCTCGTTTCGACGACGCCACACCCTCCTACGTCTGTCCAAAAAATCAACAGTGAACCTTGACTCATCTGAAAACATCACATTGCTCCAGCGTCGATTATCCCAGTGTTGACGATCCCTACACCAACGACGTCTTGCCTGAATGTGATGATCTCTCAAACAAGGGATCACGCGAGGACGTCGGGCGCGAAGGTGACCCCTATGCAGTCGATTCCGAATCGTCTGGCCACTCACTCTCACACCAGTGTCTGTTTGAAGACGAGCGCTGATCTGATTTGCTGTGATGACACGATTTCTCAAGGCCAAGGTACGGATAAATCGATCCTGGGCTTGAGTTGTCGCCCTTGGTCGACCTGAGCGTGGTCTGTCCTGTACAGATTGTGTATCACGGTATCTGGACCATAGCCTGCTTATGACAGACTGAGAAACATTCATCGTCCGCGCCACAACCGCCTGTGTTGTGCCGATCTGTAGCATGCCAAGGGCACGTAACCTTTCATTTTGGGTAAGCCGACGCATATCAAAATTTGTTTTCTGGTCACTAAAACAATTAAACTGATGTTTCCACCCTGGAATTCAATGCCACAATGACTGTAACATTCAAAGTCAGAGTCGTGCAAATCTTGGGTTGGACCCCCATGATGATCCCAAGCATCACCTGCATTCCATGCGGTAGCTATTGGTGCGTTTGGGCGTCACATGTAACTGGAAATGTTTCTTCTGTTAGGTTCTATAGTGACTTTTTTCGTAGTCATTTGCATATTTTAGTATTATGCCCCCAAAATCAAATATCCCCTACTTTTTTTGAATAGTATATTTTGATATATTTCGTTGTCTACGTTGAAGATTAAGCATAGAAGATGATATGGCATTGAATTTTTGCTTTAAATGACTTAAATACTCCTCATAGGATTTACTAACTCCATCGAAGTTCCAAGCTAAGGAAGTAAGATTCTTTGGTGGCTTACCAAAGGCAAGTTCGTATGGACTAAAATTTCCCAATTGTGGGGAGACAAAGGAATTGTATGCATATGTGCAAGTTGACACATATCGAACCCAGTCGGTACTATATTGGTTCAAATTTAACTTGATTAAGTCTACAATTGACTAAATATGTCTCTCCACCATGATTAGACACAATGATAAGTTTGTGATCAATCTGTAATGCAGAACAAAGAACCGAGACAAGTTTTCCTGTAAGCGATGGAGCGGCATCAGTTATAGTGGGCGGTTAAGGCAGAATTTTTGGTAGAATCGTGCATTTTGGGTTAAAAGCATGAAACTTGGCACATAGATGGCATCAACCCTACTGAATATTTTGAGATGTGGATCCACCTCAGCAGCCCCCCCCCCCCTGGTGGTCGTTACGGCGAATTTTCTCAAAATGACCGCCAATTTATTGAAATACATATATATCTTTAGAAGTATACATTGTAGAACCGTGATCTAGGTGTCTAAATGTATTGCTCTAAGGTCAACCAAGCCAGCGGACACAAAAACATAAGATATAATCAATTACATCAAACAGCACATTCAAAATGAATTAAAAGCATATTTTGTTTAAACTTAAAAATAAATAAATATTGGAAATAACTTTTCAAGCTCATTTCACTCTTTGGTATGGTTTATAATATGTAATTTAAAGTATTTTCAGTGTCACTGGACTTAAAATTAATCTAAATATATAGTTTCCAAAATCCAAGATGGCGGAAATTCAAAATGGCGGCCAGAATTTCCCTAAAATGTTCTATTGTTCAGATAATCGTCATTTTTATACGTCCACAT